AATTTTGTTCATTGTATATGTGTATGTGTATAACTTCAATGTAACCTTCTCGAAACATTTAATCATTAAAACGAAAGCAATCGGATTTTTAGGAATAAGAAAAACGGTTGAAAAAGATGAATCCATTTTTTTTCTCATCTGAAACACTCTATCTCTCCCTTTGTCTTTCTGTCTTTTCTATCCTCTCTTTTTCTTCTTCTTTCGTAATAATATTTCCATTGCTTGGACGAGTCTAAGCGTGACTTCTAAGTTCATTAAACTTGTGTTTACAAAGTTTCTTTCTCTCTCAGTTGATGCTCCTTTAAGAATTATTCCTCAATCTAACTTTCATTCGAGATTATTCGAGCGTGGTATGAGCTTTCGTTTGACCTTGTCGAACGATCCAAGTAATAACCTTCTCGTCCGATAAATTTCACCGATAATAAACGATTAATCGATACTCTTTTTTTATTTTTTTTTTGTTTCAATCGTTTCTTCTTTACTACTTACATATTAAAAAAAAAAAAAAAATAGAAAAAGAAAAGAAAAAATTTAGTAGAAAAGCTAACATTTCGCTGATTTGTTTAGATCGATGTAAATTTTATCTTATAATCGATTTAATTTAATCCGATCATAATCCTCGATATATAACATTTTATATTACTACTCGATATAGAATTGATTGCATAATCAAGATTATACGATATCTTTTTACTTATCGTCTATGAGATAATAGGTAAACGAAAAAACGAATAAGAGTGCTACATACACTCGTGTACATATATGTACACATGCACATGCATACGAAACGATTCGATCAATTGTTAGCAGGAAAAAAAAGAAGCAACGTGGTAGTTCGTTATGACAGTTCGTTAGCTACGTAAATTGCCGACTCGTCGTTAATGGGTGGTTACCAATTATCGAATCGATTACTTCATCAGTTACAACTACAATTTTCTGTCCTGGTTTGTTGTTCCAGTCGGTGAAGGTACGTAGTTGGTAAGTAGGTAGGTAGATAGGTAGGTAGGTTGGTAGGTAGGAAGTTAGGTAGGTAGGTTGGTACTGCAACAACGTGGAAGACACTACTTCGTCGTAAACCACGCTCGAATGCATGCTACTCCTCGTTGGAGGGCCATTAACACGAAAATAAAGCAAATTACAGAAAATCCAATAACGGTTCGTGTCGTTATGAAGCCATTACAACAACGGACAAACACCGCTTTTAAGCTTTATACGACTTTATAAACGTATAAACAATTTATTCCTCGAAGAAATAAAAATTGAAAAAAAAAAAAAAATAACGAAACCTAGAAAATTTCGAAGTAATTTCAATTGCTCGTCAGTATATTTAATAATTAATATTAGATATTATGCAAAATTCACATAACTCTGTGTTCAATGTTGTTTATTCGTGTTTATGTTATTACATAATATAATATTTTATTGTGTCTTTTTACTCTCCCTTTTACGGGTTTAAATCACTTTTCTATGAACATCTTCTCACACCTATCTACATAACTAATACTACAAAAGAGGTCACATCTTCTTTTTCTTCTATCTGTAGTCAACAACACACGATTTTTCTTTTTTCGAACGAATCATCAATTTATTTTATTAATCGTGCCTACATTGCTTGATTTTAATATTCTGACGGCTGTAGATATTATACAAGAATATTTTGTAATAAATTTGTTACATTTATTTAAAATACTGTTTAACTCTTATTCAAATTACTAATTAAAAATTTTGAAAAATCAACATTCATTTTGAAGCAAACAAAAAGTTGGTTTCTCTCTGCTAAGGAACAAATATGTATTCGTTTTTAACACTTATTTGACCTCTCGTTTTTGAGGCTGCCGTTCAGTTATTACCGGCTTAAATGCGCGTGCATTTGTTTCTAGCAATAGACAAATCAATTAATCGGCTAGCGGTTGATGAACATTTGCAATAAAAAGCCGATGAATCGGCTAGCGGTGAAAAAAGTGTTAAAATGATCGACTGGCAAAAGAAAAAAATGTTTTTTTAATCGATCGATTTTCCAAATATCAACATGTATTTCTCACGAGATAATTTAATCGATGCGCGAATCCCCGAGTTTATTAAAGTACCGCGTGAAATTGGCATGTTCATCTTTAAAATTTACGAGCACTGATAGCTTTGTTGAGGTGCGTTTTTTATTTTACATTACCACCATACTAGCTTTACTATATCAATCTTGCATCGTAAAATAATTGCACGGTTCATTAAGTACCAATCGAAAGAATCACCGTGTTCAATACGAACGTGTATTAAATTCTGCGAGAAAAGTTAAATTTATGAACTCCCAGGAGAAAGAAAATGATCGAAGAAATTTTCGACACACATACACATACACACACACACACAAAGAGAGAGACGTAATCAAGAAAAAAGAAAGTGGAAAGGATAAAAAACCAAGAAGTAAATATTAAAAGCTATAAAAGATCGGCAATTGGAATTTTAGAACTCATAACCTGGTTCGATTTGAAAGAAATTGTCGTCGATGATTGCGAATGGAATTGAAATATCATTTAACAAACCCACCAATTTACCCTTTCCCCTTTCCTTTTTTCTTCTTATATTTTTCTTTCATTTCTTATACCAGCAATATTATATAACAGGAGAAAAATTCAATCGCGTTTTATCCGAGATGATATTAATTTTTATCTCTCATTCTCGTTGCGGCTACTCACTCACTCTCTCTCTCTCTCTCTCTCTCTTTTTTTTTTATAAATACATATAACGTCATACGAAAAATGATATCCTTTCAGAAATGAGATGCAGAGGTCTATGATTTTTCCTGAGGTTTCGTTAATGTTGCATTTATTGTCGCGAATAAAGCACAATAATATGCACAGATTTAAATGAGTATTTTCTTCTTCATCCTCCTCCTCTTCCTCCTCCTTCTCCTCCCCCATCTCCTTCTCATCCTCATCATCGCGATCTATATAAAAAGAAGAAAAAAAAGAAACAGGGGATAGATTTAATGGCGCTTTTCGAAGCACAGTCGTTAAAATAAAAAGAGCTATGAGAGGAACTGAAATTCTCGGAGCTTATCGTCCCCCGATAAAGAAGTAATATTTTATCTTTTTCTTTCTACGAAAAGCAAACCTTCTCTTCTCTTTTTCCGTTCTTTCTCGAACTTCCCCCACTTCTATACTTCTGAGCATCATTTTCACCACCTTCGCTACTACAACCATACGAATCATCTGAATTTTCAACACTTTTCTTCTCTTCTCTTCTCTCTCGTTTTTTCCTAAAACTTCCCCCACCCCATTCCAATCATTGGCTATTTTCACCACCTTTACTTTTACCATCACCATACGAACCATCTAAATTTCGAATAAATTTGAAATCAAAATTTCTCTATTTAAGACAGGTAGTAACGGTATATACAAAAGAAATCCATCGTATCGAATTTATTCACACGATAAAATGATTTTATCCTTGATGTGTAAGGGTAAAGATGGTACCATGTATCAGAACATTATAATTACACGATTCTGCGTAGTTTCATTTTTTCCCCGCAATGGAAGATAACCAAAATTTGCAATACGTCAATAACCCTTTTTTCTCTTTCAGCCCTCTGCCCATTCCTCAATTTAGCACCTGTTGAAGTAACAAATTTCTCCCTTCTATATTTTTTTTCTTTTTTTTTGACAACTTTCAAAAAGCATCAAAAATTCGACGACGATAGTTCGATAGTGCTCTAACTAATTTAGTTTCTCTCTTTTCTTTTTTTGTTATTCTGATATCACGATAAAGGATGCAGAGTGGAAACTATTTTTCTTATCGTAACGAACAATTTTAAGGATTGTAATCGCATTTTCTTTTCTTAAAAGTTACTTTCTAACTATCTCAATCCTTAACCTCTCTATATAAAATGCGATTTCGATGCAGTAACTTTGCTTTATCGTTTAACAATAAGCGGTAGTATCTCGTCCTTGGTTCTCCGCATTCTCTATCGATATTCGATTTTTCTTGTATTTATTACCAGAGTCGTTTTAAACATCCGGTAGGTAAAGGAAGTGAAATTTTCAAAACGCGTATCAACGAATGGCCATTGCGATATCCACACATACAAATATTTGTGGTTATGTATTTATAAGGTGCAGGGGTAGGGTTGAAAGGGGGGATTGGTGATACGGGGAAGTGAGGTAAATGAAAAGTAGGAAGAAGGGTTGGGAATAAAGTATCGTTTGGTACGGAAGCTAGGGAAATTTATTACTAACGAAAAAGCGAGTTAACTACCTGCACTGGCTCGGTCGTTGCGTTTGAAATTCCTAACAGCAAAAGAAATCAGTGAAAAATTTAGGTATTTATAAAGAAAGAATCACCAAAAATGCAGTTATTTATGAAATATTACTAATATTTAGAAAATAAAAAAATAAATATATTTTGGACAATTTTTTTTACCGGCAAAATTCATTCTAAAGGGTTTTAAATATAGAATATTTGAATATATTTTGATTATTATAACCAGCAAACTATAAGGATTATAACGGTAGTCCCTGAATAGCTCAGGCGGTAGAGATGCAGTCAGTTTGCTCTACAACTACCAGCAACCGGCGGATCGAGCCCCGGATGGAACTGCTGCAGCAATAGTCGGACGTTTTTAATAATATAAGGATTATAATAAAATTTTTTTGCCAAAAATTATCATTTGTAATTTTTATTAAGTTATGATATAAGAAATATTTGTAATCTGTTTTTAAATTTATTTCCTTCTCTTTTGTTATTCAAACTCACTTTAATGGAGTAAAAATAAATCTTGAACATTTAGTTATTTTGGTTTAACTCGCAAACTGTAAAAAATGGAACAAAAGTTTTCAGATAAAAATTAGTTTTTTTTTTATTAAAAATAAATTTTTATTTAATTCTAATGCAAACTATCTCGTATTAATGAATTATGGAGTGTCAAGAAATGTAATTTAAAATGACTTTAGTAAACTTTGATTACATATACTCGTTTGATTAGAATTTAAATAATTATGTCATTACAGGTACAAAGTAGAGGTAGCCGGCAAGTCTCTGCCGGTATTGACGAATCTCGACAAAGGTCGTTATGGCGTTCTAATATTCGAGAACCTGAACAAGTACCTTCAAATGGACAAGTGGAATCGAGAACTATTGGACAAGTATTGTAGAGAATACTCGGTCGGAATCGTAGGCTTTGCTCCTCCTGGAGAAGAGAGTCTCGTTGGTGCCCAACTCAAAGGTTTTCCTCTCTTCATACATACGAATCTTCGATTAAAGGTTAGTTTTCATAGTATTTAATTTCTCCTATAATTTCCTATTTAAAACTCGAGACAGACAATTTTTTTAAAATTCTCAAAAATAAAACGAGAACCAAGTGAGACATTAACAAAATTTCTTCTATTTTCGTATATACATCTTGTACACGATGGTAAGATTGAACCTCAATGTCTAAATATGAAAATGAAGATGAAAAACAAATTGAACAAGAAGAAGAAGGGGTAGAAGTTGAAGTAGTAGTAATAGAAGAAGAAGAAGGTAAAAAAAGAAAAAAATAGAGATCATGCCACGAGGGCTGAAAACTCCGATCACAGAAAACTTTAAGTGGCAATCTCGTCGTGTCGTGACGAAACGACTGACTTTATTTCGTAGAAAACTTATGAGACTGCACTGTAAGCAAGAGTAAGAGCAAGGATATACGAAATAAGAGTAAGAGTGAGAACGAAGAGAAATTTTCGTAAAGTAGAATAATAAAAGACGTTGTTACCTTCTAACCGACTCGCAGTACCTATCCTCTTTCTACTTACTACTACTACTACTACTACTACTACTACTACTACTACTACTACTACTACTACTACTACTACTACAATTACTATTACTATTACTATTACTATTACTATTACTATTACTATTACTATTACTGTACATCCAACAAAAAAGCATAATACGTTCACGTGGCAATAGGAAAAATAGTGTTAAGCGATTCGTGGGAAAAGAACGTTACTGCGACGAATAAATTTGCATGCATCCCGTAGCATCGACAACAGTAATAATCTCCAAGCGATATCCACTTTATCGTTCCCTATTACAAATTTATATTGCTATTACAACGAATAATAAAAAAAAGGAGATTTTTCCTTCTCATATTTTTCATATACGCATTAAATTGGTTAACTATCAATAAGAGAACTTGTTTATCATTCAATGGCGAAAGGATGTTAAAAATTAAAGTAAAGAATAAAAAAAGTTAAAAGAAAAAAAAACTTAAAGAAGGATTAAAAGAAGCGAACTTTTTCGTATACCCATTAACATTTTTTTTAACTATTGATCAGAAAATTTGTTTATAATTTAACAGGGGAAGAGTGCTAAAAATGAAGGTAAAGAATTAAAATAATAAAAAAGGAAAAAAAGATTCTAACGCAACCACTATAAATGGTCGTTTGCGATTAAACGAAAAACGCGTGAATTAATTACGCATATATGCTATTTATGCTATGTAGACGCATTTAGGTATTATTACGTTCCTTTTTAATTCGCATCACCGCGCTCGAAAATATAATAAAGGCTAGGATATCTACATACCTGCATTAATTTTTTCTCGTTATGAAACTTTTTTGTTTCTCCTTTTCCTCTCTATCTCTTTCTTTCTCTCTTTCTCTTCGCATTTACAGGGCTCATAATACCTCGAATCGTAAACGTTATTGTATCAGGAATTTATTCGACCAACTAATTTAACTCAAAGTTTAAATACCTTTATTCTTCATATTTCCGTTCCTATCATCTACTCGTAACTTATCCTTTTACGTAACAGAATTGTAATAAAATCTCATTGAACATACGAGAAACAAGCAGAAGAAAATACAGACAGATGCAGAAAAATAGTTCATTTTCTCTGTACCGATAACTTTCAAAAAAAAAATGTAAAAAAAATGAGTTGGTTTAACTGTAAAACGAAACGAAATGAAATCAGTTTTTCACTCTCACACAGGACGCCCAGTTGAACGCGGCATCTCCTATTCTACGATTAACCAGATCCGGAGAAACAGCCTGGGGACCACTTCCTGGTGGTGACTGGACCATTTTTCAGGCCAATCACAGTACCTACGAACCATTGGCCTGGGCGCACAGGGACAGCCTCGACTATCCAACCAACAAAAGCCCTCTGGCTACTGTCATTCAGGTGAGACGATCCTTATTGGACTTTCGTGTCACGTCTAACCCTTTTTCTACTAGCTACGACAGTTTCCGAATTAATGTTAATTCTGTTCGCGTTTTCAAGCATTACCATTCATTTGTACCAGCTTACGTGACTATTGAACACTTTATTTTACTGTAATTAATCTCTCCTTACATAATTCTAAGTTTTTTTTATTCGTCTTTTTTTATCAGACAACGATAGAAAATCGATATTTCATTTCCTTCGTGTCTTATCTACTACTTATCCAGAAATAAAAATATTCTCCTACGAGAGCTCGTGTTATTTGAAAAAAAATAAATTAAACGTCTTATTCTTATTAGCAGTCTCTTTTACTCAAAAATTTATTTCTTAGTAAATCTAATTCAGAGCAGAAATATATTACATCCGTTACTTATCCGAACAGATATTTTAGAATTTTATATTCGGAAAATATGATAGATAGGAATTTATATTTATTTAGTCAGTATTTATAATCGATGTAAGATTGGATAAAACGTACGTGTGCTGATATTTTATTTAAAATATTAGATCCAATAAATATCAATCATAAATATAGAATAAAATTTTCATTTGATTCAAGCAGAAGACGAAAAACTCATAACTTTCTTGTTAATACAAATTTCGATAACGTTGAGAATGGTGATGTTGAAAATCGAGAATATTGAGATAAAGTAATTCAGCACGAGACAAAGTAATCAAATTAAGAAAGAATGCAGTTTGTTAATAAAAGATTATTTTTTGGTGAGGTAACTTTTCCCAAATTTCTCGCAATTTTTATTTTCTGGAGACGTTAAAGAGAGTGGGTTGGAGGCTTAGGTAGATACCGGCAAGAAAAGTGGGGAGAGAGGAGAGAAAACAAATGAGGAATTTTCATGGAAAGGAAGAGAAACGTGAGCACGGCAACACCATACGAGTAAACCGTGTGGTATCGCGAAGGGGCTCAAAACAATTCGTAAAGCTCTATTACTTGGCGTTTACAATCGCTTCAGGAATTTTGGATTACGAGATTCCTTGAAGCAAAAGAGAGGGGTTGGGATGGAAGAGAGAGAGAGAGAGAGAAAGAAGAAAGATTCGTTTCCTTTTCTCCGAGGGTTGATGTGAACCTACAACGCGCGAGGGGGATGTTCTTTTTCTACGTCGTCGTACTATGCAAAAATGGCTGGATAGTGATTTCACGGAACTCGAAGGAAAAAAACTTTTGCGACACTTTAAATTATTTATCTCTTTTTCCTCTACAATATTTCTCTCTCTCTCTCTCTCTCTCTTTTTACAATTTATTTTTTACCTCCTTCGATAGAAACTTGCTGAATATTAAAAATCAATCGGATTATCGAAATCAAGATAAAAAATTTATCAACAACTTCTGTAACACGATGGTATTAAATCAATGTTGTAAAGGGTATAGCCGGATAAGTATGGAAAATCTGCCCCCGTGGCTTTTTTGACTCGCACTTGGGGGATCGATTTGGTGTCGAATAAAAATAATTCACCCCAAATTTTAGCTCTTTTACTCAA